TATATATTTAAATATTATAATCAACTAAAATTATAAATAAACAGATAAAATCACAATTAAAACATGTCTCCTTCCCAAAATGGCTTGCGACATAACCAGAGCCGTCCGCAAGTCTTAAAATAAAGGAAAGCCAAGGAAATAGAGACGGACGGTGGACACTTGTCGCCTCCACTAAGCACGTGCGCGCGAAGAAGAAAGAGCAAGAATACGCTGTCTCAAAAGTCAAAAGTCAAAAGCCATCAGCGACAACAAAATATTACCAGAAAGAAAAAAATAAATAAATAAATAAAATCAGTTAATTTAAGTGAAAAAATTTTAATTTTTTAAAGTAAAATTTTAAATTTAAATATTATAAATAAAAAATAAACGTACGAGAGTTTTCATTCAATAGAATTTGATTTTAAATTAATTAATATAATATAATTTTAAAATAACAAAAGAGAAAAAATCACTTGATTCTCACGGTACAACTATTATAAATCAACTTATAAAATGTATTTAATTGAGTTGGAATTCCTTTAAAAAAAAAAAAGAGTTAAAGAAAATACAGAAAGAGAGAAAGGTAAAAAGAAATCTATTAGTTCCTTCAGCCTGTACCCTTTATTACTCTATCCTTTGTTTATTTCGTGCCATACTACCCTTTTTCTGTGCATAATCAACTGATACTTCCTCTGGAATATTTTGTTTTACTTTGATTGAATTTGTTTTGGGAGGAATAACAGAAAAAGTAAGGAATTGTTTATTTGATTTTTTTTTTTTTTTTGTAGAATTACAATCAGTGTTTTTAATTTGGGTTTCTTGGATCATTTCAAATCTGAGACCTTTTCAATGGGGTTCTTCGATTTGGACTTTTCTTTCTTAGGTTAAAATTTTGTTTTTGTAAGCTCAGCTGTTTTTTCTTTTCTTTTCTTTTTTGGTTCTTTCGGGAATTTTTATTTTGATGCACTAGATTTTTATTACTTTTGTTGAATTCTAAATTTGGAAATTGAAAACAGCTCGGGGAAGTGATAGCATAATCAGAAAATTTGATGAGATTTTGCTCCGAGGGAAGTATAGGACTTTTGTTAGTATCATCTTCTAGCTTTAGATTGGAGGTTGTCACTGTTTTATTAAGATTCCATCGAAATGGGGACTGATATGAACTTCAGGAGCTTCTGTATCAACAACAACCCGCCGCCATCTGAGGGAAGCGGGAGTACGCTGGTGGGGAATATGTCGTTAACGCGGCAGCAATCGATCTACTCCCGAACCTTTGATGAATTGCAAAGTACCATGGGCGTCGGATTAGGGAAAGATTTTGGGTCTATGAACATGGATGAGTTACTGAAGAGCATATGGAGTGCAGAAGAAACCCAGACTATGGTTTCTGCTATTGGAGGCCAGGAGGGGACTGGTGGGTTGCAGCGGCAGGGGTCGTTAACCTTGCCGCGGACTCTGAGCCAGAAGAAGGTTGATGAGGTTTGGAGAGATATGTCAAAGGAGTATGCTGTAGGAAAAGATGGGGGTGGCACTGGAGGGTCTAATATGCCACAGAGGCAGCAGACTCTCGGGGAGATAACGTTAGAGGAGTTTTTAGTGAGGGCTGGGGTGGTAAGAGAGGAAACTCAGTTGGTAGGGAATGTTAATAATGGTGGATTTTTTGGTGATTTGCAGCGTCCAGGGAATAATCCCAGTTTTGGAATTGGATTTCAGCAGGGAGGTAGGGTTCCAAATTTGATGGCGAACAGGATTACTGAAGGAGGTAATCAGATTGCTATTCAGTCATCAAATTTGCCCTTGAATGTTAATGGGATCAGATCAAACCAACACCCCATGGCTCAACAGCAAAACCAACAGCAACAGCAGCAAATATTTCCTAAGCAGCCTACCTTATGTTATGCACCTCAAATGGCTCTAAAGGGTAGTGGTCAGTTGGGGAGTCCAGGAATTAGGGGTGGGATTACTGGGATTGGGGATCAGGGTATAAGTAGTGGTATGATTCAGGGTAGTGCTTTGCAGGGTGGAGGAATTGGTGTGGTTGGCTTCGGAGGGCCTCTTGGTGTTGGAACCAGATCACCTACTAGCCAAATATCATCAGATGGGATTGGAAAGAGTAGTGGGGATACATCTTCAGTGTCACCAGTTCCCTATGTGTTTAATGGAGGTTTGAAGGGGAGGAGGAACAGTGCTTTGGAGAAGGTGGTTGAGAGGCGGCAAAGAAGAATGATAAAGAACAGAGAATCAGCTGCAAGATCACGAGCTCGTAAGCAGGTCAGTATGTATGGTTTATTCACTGACCATTTTCTTCTTCCACATGCGCATGCTTTGAGGTTTACTATGATTTGCTGCTATTTTTGTTTGGATATTTAAGCATGATGCGGCTAAGTCATTCTAGTTAGCAGTGAATACTTAGCTTCTGGACGTATAATTTATGCTTGTGTGCTTTGAGTTTTGATGTGATTAATTGTCCATTGATGCCGAATCAATGAGAATTTTAAGCAGTGTCACAACATGATAGTGATCTGATAAGAGGCGAATGAAAAGTTTATTTGAGAATTTGAAGTCATGAGAAGTTATAAAGATCCACTTTGTTACAAGCTCATGAAGTGATTGTTTTGAGAAACATGAGAAGTTGGAAATTTTATATTTCAATCTTAGGGAATTTTTTTTAAACATGGTAGAGTAAACCGAAATAGTTTATCCTATTTTAGTCATAATATTGCTAAAGATACATGCTTGAAGTTTCTTCTTAATTTCCCTTCTTTTGTTGTTCCACTAGGCGTATACTGTGGAATTGGAAGCTGAAGTTGCGAAGTTAAAAGAGGAAAACCGAGAATTGAGGAACAAAGAGGTATGTTCTTTCTTTGTTGGAGACAAGTTATAACTACTACACTCAGATCAGAAAATTATTGTCTATGACAAATATGCATATTCATTGACTTAATTTTATTGCTGCAGGCGGGAATTGTGGAAAAGCGGAAAAATCAGGTTCCAGCACATTTCTTTTTCTTATTTTGTTTTTCGTTGGGAATAATTGATATTTGGGAATATCACAAATCAGACGGTTATCTCAAATTAACACTGCTTGCGTATCCAATTCCAGATTTGCCTTGTGGGATGGTCATCTTTAGTTGGGGTGTGAATTTGTAGTTAGGACAGTGCAAAACTAAAGAAAGAAAGAATTTGTAGTTAGGATGAAGACCCTTGAAGTTTTTTTTTTACTACATTTCAATACATGACTTGATTACAACTTTGCAACCATTGAATTATTCACCCTTTGAATCTTCTTGCATTTTGGTAGCATCCCAGGCCATGGAAATGATGAATATGCAACGGGGAGGAAAGAAACGGTGCCTGAGAAGAACACAGACGGGTCCCTGGTAAAGTGAAATGAGTTGGGATCATGATTGTTGGGTCAAAACCAAGCTTAAGATGTTTCTTAGTTCAGCTGCGCTGTACAGATATATGGCAAGCATGGTTCCATTGTCGGTTTGAAGAGATGAGTTGTATTGTTCCAGTGCGGTGTAGGTTAGGGCTCTCCCAGCATTATATAATTTTTTATCTGCTTATGGATATTAGGGTTCGCCTTCATACCGTGATGCATTTCAGACAATATTATGTCCCCTTCCCTAACTTCCTATAAACAAAATGCCGTCTATTGCATCTTTCTGTGGTAATTGGATATTTATGTTACTGTCCCCTTTTTTGGTTGGTAAAATAGACTTCGGAGAAGTGATGTTACCGTATCTCCTCATCTTTATATGCTAGATAGACTGATTTTCAATCCAACAGCCAGTCTTACCATGCCCCGAATAGATACAAATCAAGAGATCCCGGTTGGCGATGGCGGTGACATGACGTTGAAACTCACCTGCTTGTACAATTTTATTTTATTTTATTTTGGGTTTGAGAAATTATATTTTCGTTCTAACAAAACCAATTCAATCTGCCCATTGAACCCACGAGTAAATTTGTTAATAAAATGCATATTAAATATGCCCACGTAACAAAACCACTGTAAAATTCACTTGAGAGTTGAGAACCAGTGAGAATTTGGAAAGCCATGGTTTTATGGAATTCCATTTCCGATAGTTAAAGTAAAATGAAAGGAAACGCGCTATTAAACTGATCTGTGAAGGGAAATCAAGGCCCTTGCATTCCAGAGGGCGCAGTTGCTATCATGGAAAACAGACTTGTCTGGCAGCAGTACCCTGATCAAGATTCAGAAACTGGACTAAAAAGGGTAGCCTTCAGTGCACTCCATGTCCTTCCAGGATAACATTTTCCTACGATCCCTGCCCCTAAATGATCTGGAAAGGAGCCTACCGCTAACAGGTTTGCACAAGCCGACATCAATTACAGAACTACCTTTGCTCTTTTCAGATGATGGAGACGCCTCATCAATCAGATAGTCAAACAACATTGCTAGACAATACACTTGGTTAGATAAGACATAGTTCTCTTGGTCTGGGGGAACCATCTTTAACATGTGAAGATTGACCTACAAGTTAAAAAGCAGAACGTAAGCCAACATCTTCTATAGCATATGAAGATTGACGTACAAATTTAGAAACCAATCGATGACATCATTTATACTCAGGAGTCAGGATTATGCAAACAAAAGATAATATTGGGGAGATTTCATCCAGTGAGATTCTCAGGAGACCACTCTTAAGTAGTTCCAACATAGAGATATAATATGAATGAAGTTGTGACCTCAACTACTGAGCCATCATCAATCAAATCAGCTGATCATAACCTACGGGATAAGAGAGCTTTCTGAAGAGAATACTCCGGTAAATATAATACTTGAAAATATGAGTAATGCCTTCAATTGAAAAAGATATGAATCAGCTAATGCTGTTGAAACTAGTATTAACGATCTAGCTTTTCTTCATGCATAAAGGAAATACTCCATGTCTCTACAAAGATACTTGAAAACATTAATTAATGATTACTATTTCCAAGGATATTGATAGCTCACCTCTGCCTCAATAGCATGAACTTCATTGTGCCAATCAGGGCTCTCGTTCCCAGAAGAAATTTCTCCAGGAGAAGAATAAAGATTCACTTTAAAAAGAGGAGGCCTAAGAGGATACTCCATGCTGATCTGAACCTGCAACAGTAGAACTCACAGTCAAGTTTTCATATTCCATGAACAAACATAGGACAGGAAACAGAGCTATTAACAGCACCTGGGTTTCTAATTTCACATTCCTCTCATTTGCATCTACTTTCCTTGTTAAGACAAGACAGAATTCTCTGACCCCATAGTCTGCCCATGATTTTTCAGCTATCTCATAGTGTTCTGTGTCTGCCTCAATTTCTGCAGGCTCATCCAAATCACTATCAGTCTCCAGCATGAGATCTGAATCATCATCATGTTTTCTGAAACTTTGTGATTTTCCCAAATTGAGTGGAGAAACAATGCTCTTTGAAATCAAAGCCAGCTGCTTGGAGTGGCTAAGGTTAGACCTGTTCGGAGTTGTAAGTTTAGCATCTTTCATGACAGATGCAGCTGGAATTAAAGCTGGAAGTTCCCCATCTTCTCTTGCAGTCTCCAACTCTTCCTTTGAAGTACCTGCCCTTCCATCCATATCAACGTCCATAGGTTCCTGAAGTCGCTCTTTGTCAGTTACAGGCTGACAAGAAGCCTGATTAGTATTGGGTCCTATAGGTGACCAACTGTGCAAATTGCATAAAGGGGTATGGAAAGCCCATGGAACACTTTTGCAATTCAGAGAAGGCCATTTAAGCTTCATAAGTGAATCAAGCTGTTCCCTGTAAGTCAATAAAATAAGTCTAGATTTTCAACCAGAAAAAGGATAATGACACTGAAGGGTAAAAAAAGCTAAGAGGATCCCAAGTTCCCAACATATAACTGAAAAAGATTCCAACACACGTGAGGTAGCAAAACAACAAACTGCATCTTAGACAGAAACCAAATTGCGTATAGAAACAAGTTAGGTACTTTATATCATAAAGATGCCAAAAATAGTCCCAAGTGAGGCACAGAAAGCTATGACAGACAATATTCAGATTCGACCACATTGTGGTATTCATCTCCTATTTCCTTTCCTACTCTTTCCTTGAAGATCAAACATCTAACATATGGGGCAGTGACTCACACAAGAGCCAGCTGAGCTTTTCTCCGTGAGCGGATTCTTTCCACCACTGTATGCACCCGATTCTGCTGGCGGTACAGTGCAAGACCAGAAATAACAGAGTCGTTTTTGGTTTCACTGATTTGAGTTTCATGGCTGGTAAGCAATGGTGAGACCTCTGGCAAGAAATCAATTCCTGCCAAATGTTGGGCCCACTTATATGGGCGCGAAGTTCTCCTTTCATCAAACACCAAGGAGTCACCAATAAAGAGCTTGGCTGACTGCAATACCATCCAGAAGTCATTACATGAAAAAATAAAACGTTTAGGACAAGAAAAGGGGTAACTATTTTTTTCTGGTTGGGCCTTTGGAGGGAACATGCAGAAAAGAGGTAAGAGTCAAAATTAATACCTGGTGAGGAAGATCAAGGCCAGTGTCATCTGGAAATAAGTTGCACAGGATACTATTCTCAGGCCCTTCATTCAACCCTTCAATTCCAACACAGACAACATTCAACTTTACCATGTACTCAAACTTCAGACTGATGAGTTTTGCAGTTTTGGGATCAGAGACCTCATCATCATATATATGGAGAGTGATTTTCAGGGGGTGAACTTGATATAATCCCATCGGGTCAAGACTGTCCTTGCTTGGAACCTTCTTTGGCCTTTTCCTCCTTCTCTGTCCATCATCTTCCTCATCAGGTGCATCATCCTCCAACCTTGAGTTCTCCACATTTACATTGGTGGATAAGCCTGAGCCACCAATAAAATCAGCATCCACTTTTGATTTTCAGGAAATTTAATAACATAACTAGGATAATAAGAGTAGTTGGTGAAAGACTTCTAGTAAATGGCCTGCTCAAAGCAAGTCAACACAATACCCTCTGAAGTAGCCAACTTGTACATTACTAGCCGCACAAAGTGCACTAAAAGAAAATGAATAGTATTCATGTGGATAGAAAGTAAGACTAAATCCTCACCATTGTCCTTATTTGCTTGCTGGCGAGCAAAAGCTTGAGCATCTTTCACACTTCCTACAATCTCCAGATCAATTTCTTCTCCAAATGCTTCCTTCTGAGCCAGAAACTGGGAATAAATCACGTACAGTGGAGGTGGTAGCAGCTCAGCTGAATGATGTTGCTTCAGTTTTTTAGTATGCTGAATTCCTAATTGGTGCTGCACTGGTAATGATGCTTTCTTAAGAGATTTAAGGTGTGAGGGCAGACTTGACAGGAACTTCCTCCTATTTGCTATTGTCTCCAGAAGACCTTTCTTACGTTGTTCCAGCTTCTCAAGATGTTGGCATAGTTCTTTGCGCTGTGACAGATATTATGTAAGAATTTCACATTAAAATCCCGCTCTTAACAAGAGGTGGGAAGGAACAACAACAAAAACTAGCAACTGAACTACTTCAAAAGAATCCAACTTTTTTCCTAAAAGAAAGCAAATAGAATGGTAAAGAGGGTAAAAGAAAAAGAATCAAAACAAATAGAGTTCACCTCCTCCATTTATATCTCACAAAACCCTTTTATACTAAGAATAAAAAGTTTTGATATATTGGTCAAGCAGAACAAAATTACCTTACAATCAGTATCTCCAATTTCCCAGGAGAAATGGAGAACCGCTAGATCATATAGTAATAGTAGCAGTAAAGAACTGAAAAATAGATCGATAAATATCGAGTAATTACCTGGAATAGCTCATAATTGAGCCTTTTCAGCATCAGATCATGAGAACTGTCATTAGACAAATGTGATTCTTTAATATCTTCAGGTGCATCTCGAAAAAATTCTTCCTCCGGCACAAGCTCGATATCGGGATATTTTGACTTGAAGTCCTTACAAGCCTTTATAGCTTTCACATAGTGACTCTTCTCATACATCAAATTGTGAAATTGCAGCGTCGTGAAATCCACCGGCGCCTTCGCCTTTTCTGTCTCGGCTTTCACTCTATCTTCCTCCAGCAATATGGTACGATTTGCCTGCACCAACCAGAAGCAAAACCCTAGCTTTCGACTTTCTTCTTCTCATGTCGAAAATGAAAAAACAGAAAACCTGGGAGGGAGAGAGTGAATTCTGACCTGACGGAGAGTGACGAAGTGAAGGAAAGTTTGGGTGACGAGTTCTCTGAGCTCAGATTTCGGCTTGTTTTCCTTCTTGATGGCGAGAATCTTAGCGACGATCTCTTCCACAGACGTCTTGCTCTCCTTCAGCATGCCGTATGGAGATTTCTCCATCTTAGGCGGTGGCGCCACCTGCTTTCTTTCTTCCACTACCATTCCCTCTTCTTCTATCTCCCCGTCCTCCATTTTTCTCCTCCAAGGTAGCTCCCTGATTTCAGTGCTGACTGCTGTTTAACCAAACAGTACATATAACAAACGTCGTCGTGCAGTCTGGTTCTTTAAAAGGCGAGTTAAAGTAAATTTTAAAAACAGAAAAATTAACTTAGGGGTTCGAATATGAACTTTGTAAAAGTTTAGGGGCAAAGTATGATTTTACGAACAAATTTTCGAGGCTTCGTCCCTTTTTATTTTTTATTTTGATTGTGGTAATAATTTTTAATTTTTTATTTTACTTCATTAGCATGTTATATGGTTTGAATTTAAAATTTTTTATTTTTAACAAAAAAATAATTATTTAATTATTTAAATTGTTGATATAATTTTGTCATTTATTAAAGTACAATTATTATTACTTTTTATATTAATTAATATTAAAAATAAAAATTTATTTTTATTTAAATAGTTGACTAATTAAAATAATTTATATAATATTAATAATAAAATTAAAAAGAATATTTTACAATTTAAATAGTTTTAAATTATAAAATACTATTCATTTAATAAAAGAAATATTTGATATTAGAGAACATCTTTCAATTAAATAATTTTTATTTTATAATTTAAAATAATCTCTACTATAAAACAAAATATTCATAAATTAATAATAATTTTTATATTTTTTAATATTAATTAATATTAATAAAAATATATTGATTACTTCTCTAACTTCTTATTTATGTAAGCACACAAATTTGAAAATTCCTTTTACTGAAGAAGGAGGTAGCACCCGGTAGGGTCGTTTTGGGCGCGCATATAAACGCACCGTTTCAAGCCTGGTTTTGTTTGAGTAGCCTACCATGACCAGAGTATTAGTGGAGTTGGGGAACGGGCGGCAGAGATCATCGGAGATCAAGATTCTGGGTCAAAAACGAACACACCAGAAGATGAAGATTCATTCTTTCCGTGTGGGCAAGCTTCTGAGCAATTCCTGCAATGCAAGAGCCAGTTTTTAATTCCATGGGAATTGAAAGGCATTTTCTTTTTCAGTTGTTTTTCTTGGAGATCTATCAATAATGTTAGTGTGCTGAAGATGAGGAGCAAAAAGGCCGGAAGAGTGAACAGATGAAGCATTCTTCTGGCCAAAAGAAAACTCAAAAGGAAGCACGAGAAATTTCCAGAGTGAGTGAAGTGGGGATTTGCGTCTTCTTCTATTTCCCATGATAACACAAGTTACGTTGCATGTCAATGCCGGTCCAAAGTGAATTATCTTACTGTGATAATCCTCATTTTCATTTTGTACTTACTTTTTTTAGTGCCATTTGATTGTTCAGGAGTGCATATGTTATTGCAATTGATATTGATCCAAAGAAGATTTGATGATGCATATCATAATGCTGCTGTTTATGGAGCTGATGACCAAATAGGTTTCATAAAGGGAGACTTTTTTTTTCTTCTTGGCACCTGAATTGAAGGTATCAATCTGGTATATCCTCTATTGACAGGTTTTGGTTACTTTTTTGGCTTGTCCATGGCTAAGAATATCCTAATTGAAGGTTTCCTAAGTCCTAACAAAATCCAACTGAAGACCATTCCACTAACATTGTGGTGGCTGTTTTACTAGTGGGCACCACAGGGTGAATCTTCCAAAGATCATTCCTCTTTTATCACTCGTCCGTAGATGGACTTGTTTTAATTTTTGCCTTATTAGACACTGACAATTTTCAACTCTCTATTGGCTATATATTAATTCTAAAATAATCTAATTACCATATGCTAGTAAATTATGTGGCTCCTCTTTTGGTTTTCTTAATTCCATGTTGTTTGGTTGTACTTACATAGATATTTTCTGGTTAATGTTACAAAGGAATTTGCTTAATTGCCAGATTGCGATGTTTCTCCCCAGAAATGTTGATGTCAACCAATTGGCAGAATTGTCTCTATCTGCACAGCCTCCATGGTCATCAGAGAGGTAAACTTCTAAATTTATTGGCCTAACTTTGGGTTGGGGGGTTGTTCTTATTATAACCGCATTCCTCACTCAGCTATTCTTCTTTCATTTCTGTTCCCTGTTTAACTATTTCATGTATATTCCTATTGCTAACTGCCGATGTCCATGATCTCAGACTGAGGAAAACTATTTGCATGGCAAGTTGAAGGCAATAACTGATTACTTTGAGAGCACGGCAGTAAGGGAGAGGTAAATCATCTAAACTAACATGTAGGCAGAAAAAATTGAAGTCAGCCTAAGTGGATTAAGTACCTAATACGGTTGATGTTATGGAATATTCTAGTTGGGATTTTCATTGGTCATTTGAAGGAGATATGAAGGTTCTACAGTTTATGGTGCACTTCATGTCTAGCTAGGATAGATATCTGAAGCAAATCATGAGCGTTTTCTAGGTGACTGAATTCTGCCTAATATTTTTAGTTAAACAAAACAGCAAATCCATTCCACTTTTTGCTTTCTGCTCCTTTTGGACCATAAAGTATAGTTCAATTGGTCGGCCGCCTAAAGGCCATGTGAAGATAATGCTGAAATATTGTAGTCGTTCAATGTATTATTGATTAGGAAGTTGCTGCATATGAATTGTGTAAGCATGATTGTATGCAAATGTCACTGACCGGTATCGAGTTCTTGCCCAGTGCCAACTATGTATTAATTTTCTCTTACACTCAACTCTAAAATCTGTAAATAACATTGAATTTTAATTAATTTAAAATTAAACAATATCAAAATTTGTAAGTAAATACTTTTTTATATTTATTTTTTTATTTATAATATTTAAATTTAAAATTTTATTTAAAAAATTAAAATTTTTATTTAAATTAATATATTTTAAATTGATTTGATTGTATATAAATTATATATATAAGGGGGCCCGCTGTACCAGCTTTGGAGCTGACATATATGTATTATATATTTATAAGTGGATTTCATTTTCTTTCTTGAGAATCAATTTTCCTCTCCCACAATGCGTCCTTGTCGCTAATTCTTTGACAGGCAAAGGGCAATCGATCATCTACACGTAATGCTAGCTGTAACATTTGGAGTAATAAAAAAGTTTCATTTGGATTTGGAAATTTGTTCTATGTTTCCGGCCAAAAGAAAAAATGAATTTGGAAAAAATTTATTGGAACAGCTGCTTGTCTGATGATCACGTGCACAAAGTCAAGGGAAGCTGTTGAATTTGAAAATCCAGAGCAAGCTAATCAACTCCTGCAGCTGTAGCAGATGACCACTCACCGGC